GAGGACCGGACCGGGGCGGCGCGGCCCCGCGGTGCCCCCCCGCTCCAGCCGCCCCGCACCACCCGACAGCGAGTGGCCTTCGTCCTCAGCGCCTACCGGGTGGGTCTGGGCACGGGAGGGCTGCGGGGGCAGGGAGGGACGAGCGGGACGCGGGGTCCTGCCCCTTTGCTGGCACCAAACTTGCTCCTCTGCGTGAAGTGGAGGGGATTTCCCAGCCTCTGCTCCAGGGAAGGAGAGGAGGGAACCGGGTAAGATGTTACGGCTGCACAGAAGAACTCGTAACAAGGCTGTGTTGTTCTGTGTTTCTTTGCATTCCCATAGGAACAACTTCTACGAGCTCTAGATTTCCGGAACAAGTTTTCCCCGCGCCCGTACTTGCCTTCCCGTGTTATACCTCCAGAAAGAAAAAAGGTGAAAGTCACTTGTGTAGTGCTTTTGTAAAGTGAGTTTCCCTAGAAGTCTGTCGGAGTGGGCTTAACCTCCCTGTCCGTGCCCGGTGCAGGCAGTGAGCCTCTGCCAGGTACACTTTGGCTGGTGCATCTGTCAGACCAATTGGGATACTGCTGTTTGAAATCACACTTTTAAATGTTACTTACTCGTATGTTTTTACATACCCTTTGTAGCTGAACACTAAAGACTTCATTTGCTCTTACTATGACTGAATCCTAGGATTTTGTATGTATCATGGAGTGAGCTGATTTACGTATCATCACTTTTCTGCGCTTGAAACCTTTCAGGGAAGACTTTGTGAAATAGAATGGTGTTTTCCGAGAGGCTGTCAGGATCAGAACCCCATTGTTTCCCCATTGAAGTGCCTATGTGAGTGTGTTACAGGGTCCTGCAAGAGGGTGAGGGCAGTCTGTGGGACTCGCTACCACAGGTTGGACTGAAGGTCTGGCCAGAGCCCCCTTAGCTGTTTGTAAGCTTTACTCCCCATCAGCATCCCGCTGATGTTCCCACTGGATGCATGCAAGTGCGTGCATGCTGTGATGCTGAAGACAACAGATAAATCAGACAAGTTTTAAGTTTTAAAACTTTTAGACTGATGATTTAATAGTAACACACTTCGTGCTCATGTTTAGTTGCTGCAAACACTGTCAGTATCACTAAATCCTTAGTAGCAGTCAGTCCTTGACAGTCATACTGCACATGTACTGGAAGGTACACAGAGCTGAAGCTCTGTCCTTGGCACAGTGAATAACCCTCCCCCGGGTCACAATCCTTGGAAGATGGCTGGCTTTCTAGACAGCTTCTAATCTACAGCTTCCACTGTGGCTACTTACTTCAGGATGTCAAGGGATAATTTTCCAAGGCCACAGCAAATGCTTTCTCCTATTACTTGCCTTTTTTTTTTTCCCCACTTCGTTTATGAGCTGCTGCTTTTCTTAAAGCAAAAGCAGTCTTTTTGTAGTTTTTTTGAGATAGTACTTCTTCAGTCATTTACTATCTGTTTATTGTTCTATGGCCTCTGTTTTCAACTAGTGCCTGTATTTTCAGGGCCTTTATTTACCACACTTCAGCTGTCCATCGTAACAAGATAGTAGCTACGAAGCTCCAATTGACTTAGCATGTTCTCATGACAAGTTGGTAACCTGAGGCCTTGCTCTGTTAGCGTAAGACACAGCTGTCCTGAAGCCTGTGGCCTCTTACTGGCAGTGATGATGCTTTTATAGGGCCACTGGGTGCAAAAAAACACTCCTACAGTTAACTGTATTACTTTGGTTATGCTTGAATTCAAAGCATTGAGGTTTGACCACATCAGCTATCCACATCTGCAGACAGCTTGACAAGAGGGATCTTCTCATTGGTGGCCTGTTCAGAGCTGCATTGAATATATTCAGCAATATGGTTATACCTTCTGTTCTTGTTCCTTTCCTGGAATTTTCAAACATTTGATACATTACTTAAACTGCTGATGAACATACAATGTGTTTTTGTGACACTGTCCATGATAGTACCAAGATCTTATTCATGGGTGGTGGTCATTAGCTCTTTTTATATGTAAAGGAGGTCATCCTTTTATGTGTAAAGTTAGATTTGCTTTTCCCCATTTATATCACAGTACATTTATCTCCACTGAATTTTTATCCACAGCCTTATTGTCTGGTCATTTTATTATATTTTTAGGGTCTTCTTCCAGTTCTTTATGATAAATTTTCATCTTTAGGGCCCTGGATACCTTCAGCAGACTTTCCCAGCTTTCTAATAAACTAGTGCTGCCATGTTTCATTTGTATTGGACTCCAGGCTTTTCCACTGCTGGCCAAACTATGATAGGGACTGAAACACAGCTACTTAAAGGGCAGTCACATTAGACAAATCTGATTAAATTGAGGTAAATGATGAAGAGTGTGAATACTCTTTTGCTAAGATTTTTTCACACCTTATTTGAGAGGGATTTGCCTTTCTGTGTTTATTTGGCATCTAGTGCTTTACCTGGAGTCTTCAACTGAAAGCAGACTAAGAATATTTTCTGTGTGGTGACCAGGTGTAAGGGACATACAAAGGAAAATACTTCATTTTAGGGTATAGCTTCTGCAAATAGCTAGAAAAGCATTCTCTGCCTTGCCAGAATGTTTCTAGTTTCAGAAGGTGATTAGAGAATTTTCTAAATTGTAACTGTATCTTCAGTTTGGGCAAACCTTTAATCTAGGGATTTGAGTTAGTTGTAGGCTTGTTTGGAGTAATTTGTTGAGAATCATCCACTTCATTTTTGTAGAAGGGGTAAAATAAAGCCATATGCTGTGAAAATGTGTTTTGTTTGTTTTAAACAGAAGTACTTATTGAGGCAGCAAGCTTCAACCTTTAATGTCCTTCTAGAAAAGATCACAAATTCATACAATAGTTTGGGTTGGAAAGGACCTTTAGGATCATCTAATTCCAGCTCCTCTGCACAGGCAGGGATATCTCCCACTAGACTAGGTAGCTCAGAGCCCTGTACACCTGGCTGTTCTTTTGAGACTTTGCAAATGTTGTATTGTAAAAGTCTAAAATCTTTATTGTATTTTAAATTCTTCATAAATATGTTTTATTCACATCCTAGCAATAGCAGTAATCCAGTGCTGTAGGATTAAGTAAATTAACCCACCTAACTGCAAAACATTTTCAATAAATTTTTGCTTTGGTAAGAACATCTTACATGACATCTGACAAACTTAATTTTATAAATAAAGAGAAGATTTCAGAGCACATGGAGTTTTAATGTTTACAGTTTTAATGGGGACTTTCTATGAAGTTTCCTGGTAACTGATGTGACCAAGATAGTTTAGGCTTTCTCTTCAGTGTTTCTTAAGAAGCAGCTGGAAACAGAACTATCCACTCTTTGTGGGTAGTTGGCCATGTACCTTGCTAGTTCATGAATGCATATGAAATGTAAACATTACTCTGGGATAGAGAACTCTGTTAGAAGAGGAAGAAGTACATACGAAGGTTGAGTATTTTCCTTCCCCATGAGTTCATGTATGTGAATAAATACAGAGCAAAGTTTTGCACTAGTTTGAGCCAGGACAGAACCAATTTTCTAGAAATTTTACTTTTCATTTACATGTCTTCAAAATAACTGCACTTCCTGAAGTTAACACCACATTTTTTTAGTCAGTATATTATTCTAGACCTGAGTGTGAGCATTGCTGGGGGGAGTGGGAGCACAACACTGACTTTTTATATATTTGAATAGAGTAGTACAGATTTCATTGTTTCCTTTTTCCATAATTACTGTTTTTCATTAAATTTGTTTAGTTTAGTTTCCAGCCTGCAAGTCTCTCCCGTATTCTCTTGGCCTTTCTGGGAAGGAAGAGGGGTTAATAGAGAGCACCTGTCACTTGTTCTAGTGCTGGCTCAGCAATTAAACCTTGAGAGGTTTCTTGCCATACATTACCTTACAGAAAAATCTGAGTAATTTAAATGTCAATCCTCCATTGTGATTTCTGGAAAGCAGCTTATTGTTACCTTGCCACACATCCAAATTACTTTCTGTTGTATTAGGTTATTTTCACTGATATCTTAGAAGTCAGATGGCCTGACCCTGCTACGGCTGATCTGACAAGATGTATAGACAATGGCAGTGTGAAGATCTCGTCAGTAGATGGTTACGCTCA